AAGAGTTCTAAAGTCTGAAGATTCTAAAGTCTCCTGTATTGTGCACATGCATATGGAGAGACCAAGTTTTTGAATAGTTTAAGAAAGAAAGACTGAAGGGCATGAGATGGACACGATAATTACTGTCAGAAGTGATAAAGATGAGGAGAGCAGATGATCACAGTATGCCTAGAAACGTGTAGAGCACAAGTGGAATGCTGAGTACAACTGGGGGCTAAAGGAGCCTTATGGCACAGTGGTTAAGCACTCTATTGCTAACTGAAAGAAAGGTTGGTGGTTTGGACCGACTCAGTGGTTCTTCAGCAGAAAGAGCTGGCCACCTGCTTCCATAATGAGTACAGAGTGCTGATCCCTTTGGAGAAGTCCTAGCCTGTCATGTGGTCAAGATGGGTTGGATTGACTCAATGGTGCCTCATGACGGCAACTCCATGAAAGGAACTCTGCTGGGCAGAACACTGTCATCAAGAAAATCACTGGGCAAAAGAAGAAAGAAAATCATTCCGATACTAGATGCATTCAAAGAAGAGTCATGGTGCAGACATGACTATCGGGAGGAATGGAGCAGCTGGCCCTGGCAGGTGAAGATGGAAGATTAGAGAAGCTGATGGATACCTTAAGAAATCCGACCTCTGACTAGGGAATATGCCTGAGGTTTCCTCCAAGATAAGGAGAGAGGATGGGCAAAACCACACATCGTTCCATTGTCATTCTGCGGAAGAAGAAACTTGTGAAAGAGCTGCTTCACAAAGTGCTAGGCTGCATTTAGAAGCGGTGAGACCCACATCAGTGCAGGCTATCAGGCAAATGCTGCAGGCCTGATGTTCGTGATTTGTAGATCACCCTATACTAGGCAAGCATTTGGACCTAGTGATTGTAGGGTTTCCTTAAAATTCTATCATTCAATACAGGGCAAACTAAAACCCAAACTTAAATTGCCATCGAATTGTTTCATAGCGACCCTACAGGACAAAGTAGAACTGCTCCTGTGGGTTTCCACCACTGTGACCCTTTACAGAAAGCCCTTGGAACTTTGTGCCCCTTGGAGCACACCTGGTGGTTCTGAACTGCTAGACTACAGGTGCCAAGCCCAACATGTAACCCACCATGCCGTCAGGGCTCCTTAATAACAGAGAAACACATTCAAATTCCTGTTCTGTTTAACATTTATTCCTTAGGATCCTGAATAACGAATAAATCCTCTGAACACTGGTTTCCTCGACTGAAATATGGGAATATTTATACTTACAGCATTAACCAAAAATGCAAAAGTCCTTTGAGAATTTTAGAATGTTATTATCACAGAGTTTATTTTAGGTAGGAATTTTGTGACATATTGTATCTGTAGTCTTATTCTAGATGCAGAACTTAGAGAGCAGTGCGTTGAGTGGTAAAATGTTCCTTCATTTCTCAGAATGTAACTAGGTGTGTAGTTGCAGTCCAATTACCATTGCAACCCGGGAGACCGCAGGATCTAGAGGAAATGTCCAAAGAAAAGGACCCACAGTTCTCATTAAAATTTGTCGGGGATTACGGAATGAAGAGAGAAATTCATTTTATGATAAAAACTGACTATCCAATTGTACTAATTTTCCTATCTATCTTTAAAAGAAAAATGAAGAGAAGAAATTTGGAATTTTAGGAAGTCATGAAGACCTTTCAAAATCATCCCTTGACAAAAGACAGGTAAGAGAGCATTTGCAAGCACACGGTGATACCTGTCATCATAGTTATCTCTCCGGGGAAAGGAGCAAATGCCCAGAAGCGATGCAAAGAAATGGATCATCAGCACCTCAGAGGATATGCCTACTTTAACACGTCTCAACGACTCTGTAACTGAGAGGCAGAAGTAATCACATGTCCAATTAACCAACAAAGGTATTTTAGGTACACTTAAGACATATTAAATCCATATTGTGGGCATTCATGGATGACAGAGCATAAGAATAGTGACATGAAAGAGGTAATAAAGGGGAACCCATTAAGGACTTGAAGGAAAGTATGATTCATCGAACCCTCTACAGCTGTGCCTTCTTATGTGTCAGTAACCCCGAAGCTGTCATAAGGGCACTGTGGGAATTAAGGGCTCTTTCAATCAGCACAGTTCTGAAAGAACAGTGTACCCTAGAGATGGGTCACCTCTTTAATTTGGAATTGTAAAACCTTCAATGGTAAGGCATCTGCTTCCTTTCTCTCTCCCTCCCTCTTTGGTAGTATGCACATAGTATGGATGTTAGACATGTTCTAGCTAACGACCTACCAAATCAACGAAGCCCACTGCCTTTGAATCAATTCACATGCCTAGTGACCCTCTAGAGGCCGGGGCTGAACTGCTCAACATGGTCTCTGGCACTGTCACTCTGTACAGCAGAAGACAGCCTCACCTTAACTCTCCCGAGCAGCTGCTGGGCTGGAACCTCCTACCTGTGATTTGAGTCCTCAAACCTAAGAATAATTGTGAGGATGGTGCAGGACTGGGAAGTGTTTCGTTCTATTGTACATGGGGCTCCTATGAGTTGGAACTGACGTGACCCCCCCCTAACCACCACCACCACCAGCAGCTGTGGTTAGTGGACCCGTGCTAGCAGTGCCACCAGGGGTCCTGACTAAAGAGAAGGAAGCACTGTGCCACAGAGGAGATCAAGCTGCAGCTGACAAAGCCCACATCAAGAGGGTTCTAAGACGGTAGTTGTGTTTTCCTCCCTCTCAATTAAAAATTGATCCAGAGTTATGCAAGTCAGACATGTTAATAGGGTAAACCCTTTGATTCTTCAGACAAGATGGCAGCTGCACCTTTAGCTATTACCATATTACCCCCATTGTTCAGGCATGGCAATGAAATAGGGCCCCCCAAAATGGAGCATGGTAGCCCAAATATCCATCATCCTGGGAAGCATCTCCCAATCATTTGTTTATCTTTCATTGCCAGAATTATGTTACATGGCCACCTGTTGGAACAAACATGTCCAAGAGAGAGGGGTATTCTAAAGGCCTATTTTATATGCATTCTCCCATTTTTAACTCTAAATAGTCTCTGCCCAAGTACATTAACCATCTCCATCTTGAGCCAGAATTGAAGGTGAGATTTAGAGAGAGAAAAACCCTGGA